GTTGGTGGGTGGATGGTTGGTTGGTGGGTGGTTGGTGGGTGGATGGTTGGTGGGTGGTTGGTGGGTGATTGATTGGTGGGTGGTTGGTGTTTATATATTTACCTGCATCAATCTCGTCACCAGAAGACCCCCCACTCAATCTTACAGTATTGTCTAGAATCTCCAGGAGCTGGTCTATCTTAACGACATTTAATCCAGAACCAATGTCCTTCAACTTCCCCTCCTCAACTGATCCTGCAAACAGAGAGAAAACTAAAATATCACACCACCTCTCAAATACAGCAGCCATCTTGTAGACCACAATAGCACTAAAAATCCTCAAGACGAACGTCAATCACCTCTTCAGGAAAACGCAGTAGCCTCGACTTTAAGACGAGATTACCGAAGGTAAACTCAAACCAAAAGTTACGATTACCAAGATCTTACCAGTAATACAGGGCTTGATAAAAGATTCCCATTGACTGTACAGTAAACCAGGATCCAAGTTCCCGCACTCAGCTGACGTTCTATTCTGGATTTTCCTAAGCAAAGCAGTCCTTACAGTACTAGTTATCAGTACCTTCGCCTCACTGATTATTTCTTCCCAATGTCGATTAAGATTTGCCTGTTGAAAAGGATTACACGAATATTTTAAATTTTATTTGAAAAAAGATCATCTGGGTAGCAGGTTTCTCACGACATGAAGCAAGGGAAAAACCTGAGTGCATTCAATGATGTCATCAAATATTTTCTCCACCACTAACTCCCGGGTACCCTAGTACTCAGGCTCTGTACATAAATAGTGAGTGGAGTAGGACTGGTGGTTAGGCTACCTGTTCAAATCCTCCAAGCAGTTCTGTAGTATCCATAGCACTGTTCATGGCCATTACTTCTAGTTTAGTACCAGTCAGTTCTGCAAGTAGTTGGACTAGTGATGTCTTACCACATGACCGAGGACCCACCTGACAACAACAATAAACGTTAGCTTCAATCGTTTATTGGATTTTGATCATGGTAGCCGGGACAGACTAATGGCAACAGACTCAAAAGAAACTGTTGGCTTAATAACTATGTATAAGTGGTGGAAGGAAAACAAGAGAATCAAGTGAAAAACCTTTGAAGGACGTACTAACCATTTATTTATGATTTTAAGCTGCACGGCTGCTAATAGCGCCTTAATATGCCGCCCGTAAAGTCCTCCAATGATCATAAATGTATAGGGCATTAAGACAATGTGAAATGCACTATATAAGAACCTCCCATTATTATTATCACAACCAACAAACAATTCTACTCACATATGATGACGCTGATAATGACAGAAACAGCGCCATTTCGTCGAGCATGCGCAGTTAGAATGACAGTTGAGAGTGAGGCAACCCAGTAACGCCCACCACTTAATACTAAGATTGCCGTGACTTAAAACGCATGACTTAAATTCCTCGTCGTCTTGATGACGTCAGTAAAATATCCCCAACCCAGGCGTACGCCAACTGTATGACGTCATAACCCACCACTGGGTGACCAACAACACAAGTGTCTTACCAGAATAGTCATCCAGTTCATGTCAATACACTTCATCAGCGATTCCATATAAGGAAGATCATGATGAAGAACTTGGAGCGGTCTGACTAGAGATCCAGAACGACTGACGCATTGGTTTCTGGGAAGGAATGAGTGGCCCACCTAAAAAAATACCAGGAGTACATTCAAAAATATATCTTTAATTAATCATTAATTATCTGTTAATCATCCATCATTTGTCATTGTACGTCTTCATACCACAGGGTGCTCACTTTTCTTTTAAAAAAGAAATAGTGGGATGCCTGTGGTGATAAAAGTAGGGTGGCATGAGGCGAGTAGGAAAAGGACTAACCTGCGTAGTGGCCGAGGAGGTCTGTGGAGAATAGGGAAGGAAAGGGGGTACTCAACCCACACTAGGGGAGAGGAGACTGAATGTTGGCGTGGGCTTTCTGTGTACATACATACCTGTACATGTGATGGTGTGATGTGTATTGCTGGTTTGTATATCAGGTTCTCGTCGTTTTGCCCCTGGTTCGCATCAAACACTTTGCACAACAGCTGAAGAACCTTAAAATACGCATAAAAAGTAATAAATTATTGTAATACATAGTGATTACCCAAATCTTTGATTCTCAGTTCCAAAACATATAGAAGCAACCTACCTTTGTCTTATCTTCCGTGGTCCTCATGCGATCACTGTATATCAGCTTAGCAAAATGCTGCAGGTCTTCATATGAGGATGTCTGGAACACAAACATAATATATAAAAGTGTACTTTGGAATCCTCGAACTGAGTTTCTACTGAATTATATATGGAATACGATTACGTTATGGTTATGTCACGCACCTCCCTCGAGCCAATCACAGCACGCTTGGTTGCTGTTCGTCCAATCAGAATGCTTAGAAAAGTCACCGTAATTGTTATGGCAAGTCACAGTCGCCAAATTGACGGCAACCGTTGAACCAATCAAAACGCTCGAGATCACGGTTTACCCAATGAAAATGCTAAGGCGGGCACCACAGGTAGCCCGCCAAAAAACGGTCGAGAGGACACAAAAGTAGAGAGACGCCTTCGAAAGCTGTTTCAATACTAACCTTGTGTCTGAGAAGTAGGTCGCACCATCTGAAGACATCTCTAAGGTTGAATTCCCACGGACTGCCTTTCTTACCCCAGGAAGCTTCTACTACTGTCTCTTGRTGAAGCTTTCATAAAGTACAAAAACCAAAACAAAATATACTAATTTACTGCATGTCCAAATAGATGTATAAATTACTTACCCTCCCCTCCCAGCCGTCCTCTCTTTCCCCACCTTTGCTCGATCCCAGTCCCTTTTTCCTTCTTCCCCACCCACCCCTCCCCCGTAAAGACATTTTAGGGTGCTCACCTGCATGTTAAAGTTTATCATCTTCTGCAGCACGTGACAGTCCATATTAGGATATAAAGAAGTAGTAATAAACAACAGGTCTTCCATTGACAAAGGATCCACATAAACCTGCGCGGGGAAAAAATTGAAAGAAGCTGGTTTAAAACGAGATATTCAAAAACATTCCCAAAAACAAAAATATGTACGATAACAAATGCAAGATTTCTGAGGAAAAAAACTTTTATACTGAACATGCGGGGAGTAATAGACCCTTTTCGAGTTCCAAATCACCGCTGTGTTTCTTGATTACAGACTCATTTACTCAGGCTTAGCCTCGATTTTGCGAAGAATATTCACGTGTTCCAGTCAAGGTCCGTCAAGTTTCGAAGTGTTTGTATTGTTGAAGTTGTGCATTCTTTACTTTACTGTTGGTATTTGTGAATATTTAGACACTGATTCGAGGCTAAGCCTGAGTAAATAAGTCTGTAATCAAGAAACACAGCGGTAATTTGGAACTCGAAAAGGGTCTATTGCTCAGTTTCCCGATCCAGAGGTTCATGATTAAAGCACTCGACACCAGATCAAATAGGAAATAAGAACTTAGATTTTTGTGTAGGGAGGACTCACGACTCACGACTCACATACGACTACGATACCGGAAATCGAACCCGTATCGCGTTAGTGAGAGGCGGTGCATCGTAAAACTGGATCATACCTGGGTAAACCTGTTGAGGAAAGACTTTGGCAAACCCTTCCTGCCCCCTCCCTGGTTGAGTGGATTTTGACAAGCGAACAATCTTGTCTTCTTGTGTTGAACTTTGAACGTCATACCAAGCTCTGGAATGTATACCTACAAACAAATACACATGATAAAACTATTAGCCAAAAAAAAAACCCAAGAAACTGATAATTTACCGAATCGAAATATGGCGACCAATTGACTATTGTTCTGAATTCACTAGCCTCGGGTTTACGTGGAAACAAAAGCGTTTTCACATGGAAGAAAGGCTAGTCAGTCAAGAACAATAGAGGTTTTTCCAATTGTTCGTATTCACGACTCTTAAAACACCAGTGTATGCGGGCTTGCCCTCACTTTTGAGGTTGGTAAACAAAAGCAGAAATTAGAATAACAAAACGAGTAACTCCTTGATTCGTGGCTAAGCCTGCATACACTGGAGTTTTAAGCGTCGTCAATTAAACTCTGGGTTTGAGAATATGGAGGAAAGGGTATTGCGCATGCTTCAGAAATTGTCGGGAAAATCGCAGACGCGTCATTTTTTATCAAAGAGGATTCTTTTCCAGTACGACTCAAAACTCAGTGCCAGGACCAACGCACAATTATGTTACGTCATAAGGAGAATCATCCCCAGTCCCCTCCCCAAGGGATCTTACCTCAGCCCTGTGATCGAGGCAAGCGTTAAGTCCTTCAAGTACAGACTGTGATGCTAAATTTAACTGATGAACAAAATAAAATAAAAAGATTAGTTCTCAGTATGGGATTTAAGTACTTTATGCTCAGAGCCCGCGTTCCTTTTGGTCTCCGCTAAACAACAAAGGGTTCTGCACCGTGTTTACTATCTAAAAAAAGGTACAACTGGTAGAACAGGGTTTTAAGTCATGCAACGCACCTCRTCAAGGACGATCCAGTGACCAGCCTTTAGAGCTCTGAGTAACGGGCCATCCCTCCAAGAAAACATACCGGGCTCGGCCCCTTCGATGGGAAGATCAGCACCAAACAGATCCGTTATATCCTGGAATAGAGAACACTATCAAGCTATACTCTTGATAAACATCAAACATCCTCTTACCCTGAAACATCTGGGTTGATCTAAGTCAGGGCATTGCTAACTCACAGATTGAACCCTGAAACAACCTCTGAGCTGATCTAAGTCAGGGCATGGCTAACCCACAGATAGAACCCTGAAACAACCTCTGGGCTGATCTAAGTCAGGGCACGGCTAACTCACAGATCAAATCCTGAATCAACCTCTGGGCTGATCTAAGTCAGGGCATGACTAACTCACAGATAGAACCCTGAATCAACCACTGGGCTGATCTAAGTCAGGGCATGACTAACTCACAGATAGAACCCTGAATCAACCTCTAGGCTGATCTAAGTCAGGGCAAGGCTAACTCACAGATAGAACCCTGAATCAACCTCTNGGCTGATCTAAGTCAGGGCAAGGCTAACTCACAGATAGAACCCTGAATCAACCTCTAGGCTGATCTAAGTCAGGGCAAGGCTAACTTACAGATAGAACCCTGAATCAACCACTGGGCTGATCTACATCATTCTTAATTAATATATTTTTATCGATCTTACCGTTTGCTCAGAGAGGTTTATCCTAACCAGTTCATGACCGGAGGCTTTAGCTATGGCAGTCACCAGGCTTGTCTTTCCAACACCAGGAGAGCCCTCTAACAATATGGGCCTGTCTAGCTGAAGGGCCCTTAAAAGTCGCTGTGCATTCTGGGATGTAGTGGGGGCATTGAGAGCATACGTATTACTCATGTCCTGTGGTATAGGTAAGGGACCTACAAAACGAGAAAATATTAGTGCGTGACAAGAATGTCGTGACAAGAATGTCGTGACAAGAATGTCTTGCATGACTGATGTGTTTACCGAACTGCAAAGTTTTCAACATCACTGTATTGATGACTGGTTATTCTATGGGTGGGAAACATACGGTACTGACTTAGAGTATGTACAACACGGTCGTACCGAGCACTGCAATGGCTTGCCATTGCCCAGTAATTCATCTAATCACAAGGTGTAGTTACGGTTACGGTATGATACAGTACTCTACGACTTTGCCGCATCGTTTCCCACTCATTCAAAAAACGCTCAATCTACCTTGCAGTACGTACCTCTCGGAATATAGAATGGCTTGATTCCAAAGAAATTCTCCGTGATTATAGCACTCTGCCCTTTCATATCAAACACATCTGTCTCRTYCTCACTGAMATTCCGTAGCYGAGTTCTTAAGAATTCGATACACGTCGATCGGGCTTCCTGTGGTGAAGCACTAGTCGATGCATAGCTTGACAAGCCGGCGCCAAGTGCGTCTAGAAACACCAGACATGCGCCGTGGAGGTATGCAGTGTATGGAGAAAGGACTGGTGAAGTAGGGGACTGGTCAGGAGTCACATGATCAGATGTCACGTGGCCATCAGGTGTTGCTAGGTTACAGCACGTGTTAATGAACCTCACCCATGATAATAGGTCCCGGATGCTCACTACAAATCTATATCAAGAAAAAATATTGATAAAAATTTGCTCTATAAATTCAAAAAGAATTTGATCATAAAAGTGGATACCTTTTGCCAAATTCAGTCGAGTGAAACCAGTTGATAAAGTCAACCATAGCCTTTCCAATACCAGATAAACCTTAATATAGATAAATACTATTAGTATTAATAGCTGTCATACCTCACAGATAATACTTATACCGAACGTATGTTGCGCATTTATTTCCTCCTTCAAATGCCCGTATATCCCACACGCATATATACTCTCTAGATCAGTACAACACCTCGCCCCCCTCCCCCCATAAAAGTTACATACGACAAAGGGACCAATTCATACCATCAGGGGTAGTGTTAAATGACATTCCAGACACCAGGTTATGTTCAATGATCTCAATCAGATCTTCGTCGTTGTTTGTTGAAGGACACCAAATTTCTGTGAACCTGTTTCTCAGAGCAGGAGATAGCTGTTGAAAGTAAAAGAAGGTCTTGAAAAAATTATCAATATTCGTTTTGCAATTACGCACCAGTATTGTGCAAGATTTCTTAAAAACATGTGTATGTGAACATATATGAAATATATATTTGTACTGCGGTTGTAATGTATTAAATTGAGCTGATCCTCGCAGTATATTTCTTAATCAATTGCTGGAATTTTAAATACGAAAAAGGGATTTTAAATTCCATCAATTTTCATGGAGATTAAGGAGAAGCAATGATCGGAACAAACCTCTTTTTTCCCAAAGTCACCGCCAGGATTCATGGTAGCCACAACTCTGAACTTTTCATGCGCAACAATGATATCCACGTCCTTGTCGTTCACCCCACCCCCCTCAGAACCCTTCTCTGCCAGCACTAGAGTCCTCTCGGGTTCCAGAACACTGTTGAGTCTCTCGAGAACAGAATCATCTGCAAGGGAGATCTCATCTACCAGGAACATGGCACCGTCCTTCATGGCCAGAACCAGAGGGCCATCACACCACTCAAAGAACTTCTGCAGTTTCCCATCCTGAAACGACGAAAACATAGAAACTGAGATTGATATCCACAGGAAGCCCAGAGAAGAGAATACAGAATKAGATATGTATGCAGAGGTGACTGTGCGAAGACGGAGTACAAATAGTGTGTTTTCGAAAACTCGAAAACCGAAAACTCATCAAAAGCTTTGAGTACACTCCATTTATTTTTTCCCTAGCGCTTTCGCCCGTTCAGGACCAGTCTATACTAAAACGATCAAAAACGCAAGTACGATCGGAAATGATGCAATATCATTATCCTGTGCGCATGCGAAAAACAGAGGTGGCGCTGTGAGTAAGTAAGCGTTTTCAAAAGTCTCCGTTTTCACCTGTCCACACTAATACAATAGCGCTGGATAATAACGCTCAGCGTTTTGGATCGTTTAGGGTGGATGCAAGGTCAGAATGCATCGAAAAGTACGAGCGGTTTTTTTCAACGAAAAACTGAGTTTTGACGGTGCCTAAGGCAGGCTTACAGTACCTCCTCTRCAGGATGTCKATTTCTGACAGGTCGTAAACCACCCAGAAAGTCAGATGACTCTGAGTGCATGTGGCAGTTGACTGAATAAAGATGTTGGATGTTGAGCACCGAAAAGAGCTGACAAATAGTTGTCTTCCCACATCTATAGGACAAAAAACACRTACTTTAATGAATGTAAATTGATTGGAAACTTCGAGCGATACCACAGGGAGCCCAATCTTGGTTTTGGGTGTAAACCGATTAAAAATGGAGTTGGGATTCCTGTGCTTTGACTCACCCAGTTTCGCCAACTAARAGCACAGGTTCACCAAACTGCAAGGCCCGGCCAACCAACACGGCAAGCCTCTTCATGGTCTTGGTCCATACAACATGATCAAATCCATCTATCGCACGACYCATGGCTTGCCCAAGGATGTCGCTGGCAGACACTGCTGATGTSGTGTTAGTGAATAACGTTTCTGGGTTGAGTTTTCGTTTAAAATTAATTTCAAGGACTTCTTGAATAACCTTGCATTCCTGTGGATTTCTGCAACGTCCTGCGAGCAACATGTAGCCTGGAGAAGTCATCAATTGAAGGGAAAAGTTATGGTTCTGCTGGTAGTGCAGTAGGTGAAGGTAGTAATGATGATGATGACAGTAATGATGGTGGTGATAATGATGATGATGGTGATGATGATGATGATAATGATGATGATGATAATGATGATGATGATGATGATGATAATGATGATGATGATGATGGTGATGATGATGATGGTGGTGATGATGATGATGATAATGATGATGATGGTGGTGATGAAAATGGTGGTGATGATTATAATGATGATGATGGTGGTGGTGGTGATGATGACAATGATGATGATGGTGGTGATAATGGTGGTGATGATGATAATGATGATGATAGTGGTGTTGATGATGGTGGTGATGAAAATAGTGGTGATGATTATAATGATGATGATGATGATGAAGGCGTGATGGTGGTGATGCTGCTGAATAATTTTCACGATGATAATATGGATGATGGCTATAATAATCAGCATGACAATGATGATGATAATAGAGTTAATGATGATMGTGATGAAACTAATGAAGATGATCATGCTAATAATTAATAATGACTAATAACAAAGAGGATGATGATGCATGATGATAATGACAATGCGAGTATGGCAATACAAGACATTAATCAAGGCTGAAAAAATTTCAAATCAAAAAGACTTTTACTCTATTCTTACCATCGCCGGCAATATGTTGCTCCCAGTCATGAAAACCTCCCTGCACATCCGGGTTCTTACTGTATCTTTCGGCCCATCTGAACAGGTCTCGTAAGGTAATGAAACCTTGCTTTCCTGCAAACACGCTRGAGCTACGACGCCTCGCCTGCAAACACATTCGTATAATCTGAGTATCCATGATTACAGAGCCTCTTTTCTTATTTGAAAACTACTCCAGTTTCGAGTTCTCTGTTGCTCAGGGTTAGCCTCGATTTTGTATAGAATATTAATGTGTTCCAGGAAAGGTCCATGGAATTTCAAAGTGTTTGTATTGTTGAAGTTGTGCATTCTTTATTTTACCGTTGGTATTTGTGAATATTTAGACACAGATTCAAGGCTGACCCTGTGCAAATGAGTCTGTAATCAACTTCAGGAAGACAGCGGTATTGTACAAATTTTGGAAAAAAATCGAGCGGGTTTTACCAAACCAAGTGTTCAGGCATTCATACGTATTGCCCTCAAAAACAAATACCTGTAAATCCAARAGCACAGCTACCATTTTCTTGGCATAAGACATAGGGATTCTTCCTCGTTCATGGAGGATCTTTTCCAGTTCCTTGCTTGGTAGTTCATCAAAGTGAAGTTCAACGAAACGGTTACGAAAAGCACGGGACAAAACCTGTAYAAAATCAGCTGTTAAGGTGCTGTTACAAGCAAAAATGTCTCATACGAGACTCAAAATTAATGCATATTTTACCTTTTTTTTTGTGTGTGTGTGTGTAACACGTGCTAATGCATCCTGTAATGTCCGAATTTTTGTTGCAGATAACGAGCTTACTTCCTAATGTTTTGCAACTTGTTGTTTGCAAAGAGTTTCTGTATTCGGTAGGTTGAGACGTTATCTCAACGTGTAACATACGATCTGCAACAACTTTTTCGCGAGAACAGTTCCAGAAAAGTGCGCCGTGTGTTTTAGTTTAATGAAAGTGAATTGATGGTTTTCACGTCGGCCATGTTGAAGGAATTTAACAAAAGAATTGACACTGAATTCTTTTGTTATATCCTCCAACATGTTATTTAATTCTCTTGGGAATGGTCGAAAACTATCAATACGAATGTAATCTTACCTTTCTGCCGCCATACTGTCCTGGAGGGTTTTGAGTGGCAAACAACATGAAGTTTGGATGCGCTTTCACAGTTTCTTGTGTTTCAGCGATGAATAACTCYCGGTTATCGTCCAGCAACTGATGAGAAAACACATACGAAATGAAACGAAAGTCGAGGACAAAATAAGGCTTAAGAAACAGAAATGTTTATGAAGATTACCCTGTTTAAAGCTTCCAACACATCAGTCGGTGCAAGGTTCAGTTCATCTAGGATAATCCAGTAACCTTTCCTCATCGCGTCCACCAGGACACCTAAAAAATTAAAACAAATGCGCAAACTTCCATTAGGATCCAGCGTGCCCCCTCCCTCGGAAAATATTTTAATTTTTGCGTTCTTGGTGATGATATATCTTGCATTTCCGAGACATCCTTTGCCAGGAAAGGGGTACATGGCCACGCAATTAACTTCTCTAGATCCACTTCTGAAATMTTCAACTATTAGACCTCTTTACCTTGGGTGTAATGATGTTTACCCATCACAGACAAGGTGTTATTCTCTTGAGGAAAAGATTATTTGTTTTCGTTGTTTCCATATTCATGTGTCTTCTCATGCGWAAGCGTTAAACAAAGAAATAATACTCTAGGGAATGACACGTGGTCTGAAATGTGAAAACATCAAGTAAAAGGTATATTTTTTATTTCTGTAAGACTTTTAGTCCTACCTTCTTTGAAGACAAGTCTACCATTATGATCAGAGGTATAACACCCCAGGTATTCCTGGATATCCGTGTGTTCATGGTTGTTAATYCTGACGCATTGGTTCCCTGAAGCATTGGCCAACCACTGGACAAGACTTGTTTTACCCACAGACGTCTCACCTTGGATGAGAACGGGGAAAGACCTGCAGAAAAAGCACAAGATCAACTATATCAAGAACTACTGGGAGTTCCAATGATAAAAGTCTTGATTATTGGTCAACTGCTTTACAGTTATGCGTGAGGCGTGAGGCGTGATTTTTTGGGAAATTATTTTACAAATATGCGCGATGGGTGAAATAAAAAAAAAATAGAGCAATTTTGAAGGTGAAAATGCGTGACGCGCGAAATGAAAAGTGCGTGATTTTGCGTGAGGCTCTAACAAATATGCGTGACGAGTGAAAGTTAAAATGCTTCATGTGTGTAGGAAAATGCCTGTGGAATGCGTGACACAAAATAAAAAAAWTGCGTGATACATAAAATGCATGATTTTGTTGAAAACTGCTTTAAGAATATGCGTGACAATCGTAACGCAACAAGAACCTATATTTGTAGCTCTATTCCTACCTTCCACTTACTACCCTGGCAAGGTCACGCAAGTTGGCCTTCACAGCAGGCGTAAGCACGTAATGAGAATTAACAACTGGCTCACGCTCTCCAACGTTGATCCAGAAGCCTTCAAATTTAACAAAACTCTTGTTATCTTCAACAGGGCAAGGAAGAGGCTGGTTGAGGAGACTGGTGGCGTTCACGTGACCGAGGATATTGGTTCGTATCAAGGACTCTACTACCGGGTGGGAAGAACGGTCGAGCTGGGTCAGAAAACTAAGGCAAAAACCCTGTGAAAGAATAAGAACCAGTTAATCACACAAAAATCAGGTCGTGGACAGGAAGGACTGGGGCAGTGGTACTTCACCAACCTTCCTCGTTCCAATCAAGGATATTTGCAATGCATGGTGGTACTGAGATCAAGGTAAATCCTCTACCCCCCCCCCCCCCCCCCCCCAACGTCTTTACTCGTAAAAATGGTAACATCATGTGACTTACCTCATAGATCGATCTCAAGGAGTTACCATGGGGATTACTTGAGGCATATCTTAACGCTCTACACAGCGTTCTTAAGCTGTAGCATTAGAAGGAGAGAAAAAARACGTTTCAGAAATGCATTTTACAGCATCTCTTCCTGTATGAGAGACTTCCGTGAAGTTTGCTCCACATGCACTACCACTACATTCACTATTTACACACATAATACTCAACTCACAATCTAATTGATTTTTATAAACTTATCAATGTGTAGCAGAGCAGAGTTTGAAATAATTCAATCAGATTGTCTATCAACCTGTAGTGTGGTTTGTGTCCAGTCCCATCCGTCAGCTTATCACTTGCTTCATGCCTTGCTGTTAAATAAAACCTAGATAGATCCGAAACAAAAAAAATGATTTCACTGGAGCGGTTTTCGTATAMTAAGAATTTACCATATCGTTTCCCACTTATATTGACGAAAACCGTTCTGTTTTGAAGGTATCGTAGCAGATGTTAGTATTAAGATCTGATTTTTTTTACTTGAACACCCGAGATCTTCTAGAAACATCTGCCTTCAGCATATGCAGGATTGTCTTCYGAGGTAAATCCTCAAAAATCAAACYAAATCAATTCCCCAAAACCTCTGACGATTTATGTCTGTGTTGGTCATGTATGTATATGCTGCATTAGTTACCACCGATTACCTGACAATCCCATCAACTATGGCCGCAGACGGCRACAGACCCTGTAGATAATCCACAACCAGGGTTTTTAAGTCATTGACATCTTCAAGTTCATCGACATAAATCTCTGTAAACCTACAAAAGACAAACATACATTATTTTTTATCATACTCTTTCCCTCGTAGTAATAGGGCTCTTCTGAAAAAACGAACAAAGTGAATTCCGGTTTAGCTCGAGTACAAAAATATTTTGTTTCCCATACCTTACTCAGTGATGCTTGCACCCAAGCTAGACCAGAATGCACTTTGTTTGTCAAACTCAAAAAAGGTTTTTTATATTATAAAACGTTGAAGGGAAYGCAGGGTTAAATAAAGCAAGTTTTCACCTGTTTCTTATTCCTGGAGGCAAATCTTTCTTCCCAACATCAGTAGCAGGGTTCATACAGGCAAACAAGCGGAAGTTATCATGGCGGACTATGGGTTCCACATCACTGTGATTATTAGGAGGAGATTAAAACAATACAATTATTGTTGATAATAATGTTGATAATGGTATCAGTAATGCTGATTATGGTGATGATGATGGTAATGATGATGATGATGATGATGATGAAAATGCTAGTGATGCTGAATACAATGAAGATAACGATTGTGGTGATATTGATGATGATGATAATGATAGTTCATAATTAGGGTGACACTGATAATGCTGATGGAGATGACACAGATTATTCTGATGATGATGATGATGATGATGATGATGATAATGCTAGTGATGCTGAATACAATGAAGATAACGATTGTGGTGATATTGATGATGATGATGATGATGGTGATAGTTCATAATTAGGGTGACACTGATAATGCTGATGTAGATGACACAGATTGTTCTGATGATAAAGAAGATGACGATGAAGATGATGATGATGATGAAGATGATGATGATGAATGATGTACTAAAGCATTCACCTACCCTCTTTCCAGGAGTACAACAGATCCTGCACTACTCTCCAGTAACCCACTCAAGCACTCTAAAGTCTCAGGTGTAGCTAGATTGATTTCATCCAGCAGAATCCAATCTCCATCACGGATGGCCTTCACAAGAGTGCCTTCTACAAAACGAAAAGCAAGAGCACTCTCTGCATGCTTCTGCTGCTTTCTGAGGTGTTCTATCTTGGAAGCAAGTTTCTGCCATTTTCTGAGAAGTGCTTGGATGGAGACCTCATCATCAACTGCAAGAGAAAAGTAACACTTGGTCAAAGGCTTTTTTTATAATTGTTCCAGAAAATATCCATACCTCCCCTCAAAAGTAAAGACTGGAATTTCMAAGTGGTTGGGAGGGTCTGGTGAGGGTACTGTATATATTTCATACATGTAAATCAGAAAATATTCACACCTCCCCCACAGAGAGGTACTAAAATTTCYGAGGGGTGGGGAGGGTCTRATGARGGTATTATACATGTATTGCTTACCAACACTTTTGCCCTTTGATATCCTATCAACTGCAGCTTCCTGAGAATGAACCATGAGTTTAAATAACATCTCCCACTGACTCTTGGCATAACATTGTTGAACATGACTCAAATATTTGACATTCTGTTTCCTGGAAAATGTCTGGCAAAAGATATTCTCAAAGTACTCTCTGACTGGTCCAACAAGCTGTTTCATTTCAACAGGTTTAAAACCACCCAAAAGATCAGCACTGTCACTCTGCTGGCTCATGTTGATCACCTTCAAGTTCAGTCCACACAAGGCAGCAAGATTCTGAACTGATGACGTTTTGCCTGTCCCGGTTTCTCCAACCAGTAAAACCGGTTCTTCCTGTTTTATACAAGCAGCAACTCTCTCTAACAGTACAAGCGAGTGTCTTGTGTGGGCAAATTTTGGCATCACAATATTTGTAGCATATTTGTCTTGCTGTAGTCTATTTAAAGATGCTCGGCCTACTGTGACAGAGAGTTTAGATATCTGAATTTTGGGCTTGTAGTTCTTGCAAAAGAAGTCAACTTTTTCTTTGGTCAGACCAAGTTTTGCACCAACAATCATTCCAAGTTCAAGCCTGTGCTCAGCCTTAGATAATGTTGCCCCAAAGCAATCTTGCGCTTCAAGGAAGACATCTTTAGCATCGGCAAAGAATGGGCCATTACTTGTTGCCATGGAAACTCTGGAGGTCCATTTCATGAGGTCTCTTGTTGTGCTGAGCCTCTTGTCATGYGCCAAGGATGAGAGTGTGACATCATCTTTGGTTGCTAGTCTAGWGTCTGAGGAAACAACACTGTAGATGTCGACAAGCTTGTGCGATACAGATGACAAATCTGGAAATTTCTGACAAATGATCTGAAATYGGAACAAAAAAGAGAATAAAAATGAACACACTGTTCGTAACAAAAGACAAATCAGGTTAATCAGGTTTCTGGGTTCAACAAACAAGGTGCATTGTGGTCAACCTTGGGTACAACAACATCTTATAAGGCATGGTGGACAAATGGTGATTGTTTCCAAACTAGACCAGAATGCACCCTTCTTCACAATCCCAGAAAAAGTCTGTTAGCTATCAAAAAAAGATTCTTGCCTCTTTAAGTTCTCCTTGAGATGRAGGTTCCACATGAACTCTCGTCCAAAGCCTGTCTAGAATGGATGAATTGGTATAGGCATGGAAGGCATAACCACTGTGGCTGTGAGTCCTGGACATCAATGAAAAGACAAGCAAAATTAGTTACAAATGCTTTCAGTGAGTTGAGTATTTGTTAAGAGAGGAGTATATGAATCACATGTTTCAACAATTCTCTTACTAACATTCAACTTTAGCTTCATAATGGTATCATAAATCCCAATTATGAATAAGTCATACGTGTTTTACTCATTCATAAACGCTTTTTGATGGGCCACCCTCATGACYGTATGGGAGGGTGTGGGGGTCTTATGTTCAGAAGGGCTCATAACCAGGAAGAAAAGTGGCTGGGATTATGAAAAAATGGTTATTTCTTCCTTTCACAGGYATTTATTTATCCAGTCAATCATTTATGTGTCATCAATGTCAACATGAATACAAGATAGCATGAAGTGAACTTATAACTGGGTGCTTACAGTGTATAACCAGGACTTTACTTTATCTTTCTTGATGTACTAACCTTTGAGTGGCAAATAGCTGGAATCCTGGTGCTGCTTTTACAACATTCCCATGACCTGGTACTGACAGTGTTCTGGATTCAAGAAGAGGGATCAGCACAGATACTACATCCATTGGTGCATAGTCGATATCTTCCAAGAGCACCCAGTGTCCACCTTGTACAGCCTGTAGTAGAGTACCTGCCTGCCAGACAAATTCTCCTGGCGTATCTGTACAWATGTATGTGCCGAGCAAGGACTAAAACAACAATAAAATCATCAGCGATCATGTGAAATGGAATACTTTTGAATATATCAATGAAAAGATTGAGATTGCCAAGATTGCAACTTGTCTGGTCAAATCTTGACCACTAACATTGAGTCAGAAAGGAATATGACTAAGCTGAAAGTAATTTGGCCGGTCTTCATGACTGGCAACTGACCGACCATTATTCTAAGCCCTGATTGGAACMCTGTCTTTCTGAGATGAGAAGAGGATGAATACCATCACGCAACAGAATGATGGCCACAGTTCTTCAAAAGGAAATCATACAACCGAAAATTGGTTTCTAAAGTGAGAAAAGTAGACAAGCAGGGAAGACRGCATTTTTTATTTAATGCTTTTCAAAAAGGTACAAAAGCTTTTAGATTGCAGTAATTACCTTGCTATCTGTCTGATCTCCAAGTTGTACTTTCATAAGTAAAGGAGCTGAAGCTCTTCCTGTCATTCTTGCAAGGTTTTCCACAAGAGATGTTTTACCAGACCCAACTGGTCCTTCTAACAGTACAYCAGAACCAGTTGCAACAGCCAAAGCAAGAGAGTGAAGATTTCTTTTGCTTGATGGAATCATTACAAGACTATTAACACGTCCATCATTCTGCGGCAAATGGTTCTGAAGTGTATGAAGTACRACTCCAGAAACTGCAGTGTGGTTCCCTGTAAAATCTTCTTTAGTAAAATACTTTCCACTAAAATACTGGGTATCTGTTTCCATAGCAACATTTTTTGTCAAATTATTAGAGTTAAGATCACTTAAATCTTGAAYACTACCCATATTATACTCTTGAGCCATTTCCAATATCATCTTATTTCTTTCCTCTACACTGAACAACTTTCCCAACAGATCCAATTTACTCTTTTCATTCATTTGTGTTAYCATAGCAACCAAATGAGCAGTGAGCCACCTTATCTCTATGTGATTGTGTTGCAATAGTTCAAAAAATATGCTCCAATTCCAAACATCAATAAAAGTTTCAAAGTCATAATTTAAGAAATTATATGCAGTCTTGGTAATCATAAGAAGTTTTTCATTGTCTTTAACAACTTGAGTCCTTTGCTCCAGTAAACGGATATAAAATGAAGGAGTTCTTGCATAGTATTCCAATACAAATGCCTGTATGTTTGGTATAACTGGTAATAATATACTAAGAACGTAGCTGAACGATTCATGGTTGACGTAGAATGACTTTGTATCTTTGATGATAGCTTCAGCACACCTTTGTAATATCTCAATAATTATAGGTTTAARATGTTTCATCACTTGTAATGCTGTACGTTCTGTAAGCATRAATCCAGCAAGGGTTTGGAGAAGTRYATGTTTATCTTGGTTGCACCATGTCTAGAAGAAAGTACAATAATCAAGAAATAAATATTAATGATAATTAATGCTGTCCAAATTTTTTACTCCAATGTTTTACTATTTTGTATGGAAATGTATGGTACTGACTTACAGCCTGTACTCAGTACAATATGCTGTAACGTCTTAATGGATTCCTTGAAAGGTTATTGAATTGTGTAAGTGGGAAACTTATGGTACTGACTTACAGCATGTACATATTACACATGCTGTAAAACATCGAAATGGCTTCCCTTTCCCTTCAAGTGATTCAACCAATCACCATGCATAGTTACAGCTAAGGTAMGATATGGCATAGCTACAGTACAGCTACAGATTTTTCATAATAATAATTAAGCTTAACGTAATTAATCGTTTATCATCATTATCATCATACAATATATATGATGATAATTTCGACTAGAAATCAAACTAGTTAATGAATCACGAGGAATCTTAGAACAACACCAACAAGATCATCACTGTCCAGATATCAAAATTTAAAGAAAATTACCTTCAGATTAATAAAAGGTTCAAGAACCTCGTTCAACTTTTCGTCACATCGTGCGAGAGAATTGAGTGCAGGGACGAATTCAAACACGAAATCCTCTGAAGATTCCATCGCTGTGGCTTCCTCTTTCACACCTCTAACTAATTGCATACATATTATAAAGATTATAGCCGTAAAATATAAAAAAAATTCGAGTTGATTCAAAAAATTCGATAAAATTTCTAAATCCACATGTGCTTGTTTTGCTGCGCCCGCAAATACTAGGCTTGCGGTTGATACCATTCGWCCCAGTCCCTCTTAGAGATCGAGGTTGTTTCCATAGCAACGAACCAAACGAAGGTCGCCATTTTGCAAAAACATCACACGAAGAAGGAGAACATTTTCAAAATGGGACAAGATTATTATGAAATACTCGGCCTTACGAGGAGCGCTACTGATGCTGATATCAAAAAAGCGTAAGTTCAGTGTGTTTTCTCTATTCCTGAGCAAAATTTTAGGTTACATTGGGTAAAGAGGTTGAGAAAAATGGCAATGTTTTTCACTGGTTTCATGACATCTTTCTCAGCTGTTTTATCTGGCTGTTTCTAGGTTTCGAAAATTGTCGTTAAAGTATCACCCGGACAAAAATCAGGAGGTTGGAGCTGATGTGAGGTTTAAACAAGTTGCAGAGGCGTACGACGTACTAAGCGATCGTGAGTATTTTGGATATCTTACCAAGTATGACTTAATGAAACAGTAATGATGAAAAGGTAAATTATACACCATGAAAAGTTGAAAAAACGAAAGTAAGTTTTTTCATCTTTTCACGGTATATAATTTACCTTTTCATCATTACTGTTTCATTAGAAACACCGACGCARCTCACACTAGTTTTTAGCTAGTTATATCTTCAAGTATGATTTAATGTTTAATGCTTGATTCATCTTWCCTTTTATTCTTTGCTTGCAAACAGCTAAAATACGAGCTATCTACAATCAGTTTGGTGAAGAAGGCCTCAAAGGAGGAGTTCCAGAAAAAGGTACTTATTATACGATATATCACATTTACAAGTAACATTTCTATTGATATTTTTCATCAAATAGTTTTGAATAGTTAATACCAATGTTCCAATGTTTATCCTACAGATGGATGGACCCCTGGCTACACTTTCCATGGCGATCCTCACAGAGTTTTYAAAGAATTCTTTGGTGGTGATAATCCATTTGCAGAGATCTTTGATTCATATGATCCTGACATCGGATTTGGTGGAATCCACGGCAGAGGAAGAAGAAAGCAGGATCCACCAATAGAAAGAGAGCTGTATCTGACACTTGAAGAGGTGTTCAAGGGATGTGTCAAGAAAATGAAAATATCAAGAAGAGTAAGGAAAATAGAGTAGTCTTTTAGCTCCAACAAATCCCTTCCCATTCCCCTTG